CCTTGGAAGTAATTTTTTTAGCGAATTTAACATCAAAATAAAAGAATCCTGCGATTAAGCTTATAATGTGATTTAGTCTCAAAACTATATCATCCTAAGATCAATCAAAAGCTTTTATTTAAAAAAAAAATGCTATTTCCTTAAACCGATCATTGGTAGTCAAATATTTAGTGGACTTAAACTTAAAAGGAAAAGCTCAAATCGGCTAATGGAAACCTTAGTGTTAGGATTAAGCTTTTGAACTAGAACTAGTGTTAGGATTAAGCTTTTTTATTGAATTAAATCTCGAAACTATGACTTCCTAAGATCAATCCAAAGCTTTTGTTAAACAAAAATCGATTTACGGAAAATGGTTTTATATAGCGACTCATGTAAACTTTAAACCGATCGTCAAGAAAATTTTTAATACAATACAAGGTCTTATAAAGGTCCTGCTTATTATGTTTTATTTTCTAACATGGTATAAAACAAATATCGGCGAAGAAATAATCTAAAAGCTCTTGTATGAGCTTTCTCAAGTGTTTAAAAACCAATACAGTTAAAAAAACTAATTTCTTAATATTAACTTTCTCTCTCACTTGTATTGAAACATACAAAACCCGTCAGAAAGTTATTTATTACTCTGTATAATTACCTGGTATAGAGTGAAAACTCATAACAGTGTTCTTGGCATAGGTCAGGAATATTTCATAACTAGAATGATTTTGCATTACATTATTATAATAAATCCTTTAAGAAGGGTATTTTATTGATGTTATCTTTTGAATTCAACTTTCCAAAACGTCTTGAAAACTTATTCGATAAAATTTGGAAAAAAATTCTCTCTTATATATGTGTGTGTTCCATGTTTTAATTAATAGTGTAACATTCCATCAAATATCGGAAGAGAAATATCGTCAGAGATACATGTGTTAAAGGCAAGAGATCAATAAAGCTTACGATGGAGCTTTTTGCCGATAACTGCTTAAAATATACAACAGGACACACATTGTTAAATCGACTCAGAAAATAAAGCTAAACCTATAGATTGGTAGGGTATCTCATACAAGTACGTTTTTAGTATTCAGTTCTTAAAGCTGGCTTAAAGCTTTAACTCTCTCTCTCTCTCTCTTTCGAGTAAAATATATATAAAAATATTGTTATTTAAGGAAATATTTATATTTTTTCATTGGTACGTAGTACGTGTTTAGTATTCAGTTCTTAAAGCTGGCTTAAAGCTTTAACTCTTTCTCTCTCTCTCTCGAGTAAAATATATATAAAAATATTGTTATTTAAGGAAATATTTATAATTTTTCGTTTATTTCAGACAAGATTGAATAGTTATTTTGAAACCTCCTCGTTATATCCAAAGTTATAAACATAAACTAATTAAATAATGTCAAAAAAGGGTGTTTCCCAATTCGTTTTGTTTTATCATACAATCTCAATATACTTGCTACGTGATTATTATCACGCTGATGACAAATTTTTAAAAATCTTTTTTTTTTTTTTTTGTTCTTAATTTCTGTCTGTGTCTGTCCAACTGTCTGATATGAAAGTATTGTGGGTTGTTGAAAGCTTTGCCAATATGTAGTACATAACAAATTAAATGAAAAGTATGTGTACTACACTCTACATTCATAATAAAGAGTAAATTTTCTCCTATACTTTGTAATGTTTGGTCTATTATAGGAATTATGTTATGGTTATAAATTATAACTGATGTAGTTTTGCGCTCATGGGAAAGAATTTTTCGCCAACAATTTTTTATTAATACACATACATATGTATGTACATATGTATATTTTTACAATTTTTAATTAAAATAAAAAATGTGATTTACAACTTGGACATTATAACGTTTTTAAGTGTTATTAATATTTTTATTTAAACAAATATTTTTGCTGTTTTTTTTTTCCTCCAATAAAACTGTAAATATTAAAAATATTCTTATTGCATTTGCTGTGAGTTTGAGTTGAAAATATAAATGTTTGTGGCTGGTTGCATATTTTAAATTAACTGTGAAAGATAATTATTGATGTTGAAATTTTTTGATGTGAAACATTATTTGTTTTACCATGCACCAGGGAGCGTATATGGAATATTATAAAAATTTTCGAAAATCCAAAAATTTCCTTTATGACTCAAATGTTTGATATTTCTTTAAAAGAAAAACATTTAAAACACATATAAATTAAATTTATTACTATTGTTTGTGGTTTTTCCTAGAAAAAAACATTGTTTTTTTTTTCAAAAATTAAATTGTGTTGCAAAAATATTTGAAAGAAAATTTTTGATTTTTTTTAATAAGATTCTAAGAATACATGGTTGTCATATGTACATACAAACATAAATATTTGTCATTTGTTTTTTCATGTCTTAAATGACCCTGTTTTTTATATATAAAATGGCATAAATATTCTACAACTGTTCTCAATTCTATTGTAGATATTTTAATTTTTAATAAATGATAAATCTAAATTTCATTAATTAATTTGTATATAAGTGTTTGTAAGTACGTATGTATGTTTATTATAAAATAAAATAAAAATAAACAAAAGCCAAACAACATTTATTTCAATAAAAACAAAACAACTGGGAGGCTGGTCCATATCATATATACCGACGTATGCCATGACTTTGTCAAGGGTAGTTTTTAGATTGAGCAAAGTCCATTAAGATAATGAGTAATTTGCGAAATGTTTCAATTAAAAAAAAAAGAAAATTTTAAATTTAGAATTAACAATCATTCACAATGGGTTTGCATATTTGAATCTCTCAACATTGTAAATTTATAAACTTAATTTTAACTTACATTCTTGAACCAAATACATATATCTCCAGCAAAACTGTGACCTGCCTAAATAAAATCACAAATACAATATTCATTACCTTATAAAGGCTGTAGCGTACAAATAGCGTGTGAAATTTTAAAAAATTTTATTTTTTTTAATTTAAATTTAAAAAAGCGTTTAATTAATGTTCCTCAAAATAAAAACTATACTATATATTTTATACATATAAATATTTCTTTCCTTTTTATATTAGAAAAAATATCTTAAATTAAACAACAATCTAGTATATATAATAAAAAAAAAGAAATATTTTTTATTAAAAAGAAGGCAAATCTTTTGACGTCATAAAAATTATACTCATGATCAAACTGGTGAAATAAAAATTAACGACAAAATTTCTTTTGAAAAAAATCTAAAAAAATATGTTTTTAAAATTCTCGAAAGAAAATGACACATTTTAATATGTTGTTATTTTTTATATATAAAATAGCAACAATTTGAATTAGGCTTTTTAAAAATACATAAATATAAAACAACATACTTATAATAGGCTAAAATTGTCAAAGAGTTAAACTCACACAATTGAAAGAAAATTTATAAAATATTTGAAAAATATTAATTTTTTATCACTGAATAGAATTGGAACAGAACTAGAACAGAACTAGCACAGAACTAGAACAGAACTAGAACAGAACTAGAACAGAACTAGAACAGAACTAGAACTGATCTAGAACTGATCTAGAACTGAACTAGAACTGAACTAGAACTGAACTAGAACTGAACCAGAACTGAACTAGAACTGAACTAGAACCGAACTAGAACTGAACTAGAACTGAACTAGAACTGAACTGAACTAGAACTGAACTAGAACTGAACTAGAACTGAACTAGAACTGAACTAGAACTAGAACTGAACTAGAACTGAACTAGAACTGAACTAGAACTGAACTAGAACTGAACTAGAACTGAACTAGAACTGAACTAGAACTGAACTAGAACTGAACTAGAACTGAACTAGAACTGAACTAGAACTGAACTAGAACTGAACTAGAACTGAACTAGAACTGAACTAGAACTGAACTAGAACTGAACTAGAACTGAACTAGAACTGAACTAGAACTGAACTAGAACTGAACTAGAACTGAACTAGAACTGAACTAGAACTGAACTAGAACTGAACTAGAACTGAACTAGAACTGAACTAGAACTGAACTAGAACTGAACTAGAACTGAACTAGAACTGAACTAGAACTGAACTAGAACTGAACTAGAACTGAACTAGAACTGAACTAGAACTGAACTAGAACTGAACTAGAACTGAACTAGAACTGAACTAGAACTGAACTAGAACTGAACTAGAACTGAACTAGAACTGAACTAGAACTGAACTAGAACTGAACTAGAACTGAACTAGAACTGAACTAGAACTGAACTAGAACTGAACTAGAACTGAACTAGAACTGAACTGAACTGAACTAGAACTGAACTAGAACTGAACTACAACTGAACTGGAACTGAACGGGAGCTTAAAAAAAACTGAACATAATTAAAACGCCGATTTATATCAAACAAATTTAAATTCAAAAATTAAATTAAATAAATTTGTTTAAAATTAGACAGACATTTGTTTATGAAAAAATCTTTAATATTTTCATCTTTAATTAAACGTCACTACATTAAACCTACAACTTTTTGCTTGTGTTTGATCAAAAAAAGCTGTGTATAAATCCAACAAGTTTGTGTTTAAGTGGGCGTATTAATAGTTTTAAATATTTTGTTTAGTAAATTGATATTAATTTTATTATTTAAAATATAAGGCAGATGATAATAACTATTGAATGCGAAGCACTTTTTATAACTTTATTATAATAAATTGCACATTTTATATTATTTTTGTTAAATATAAGAGCTTATGTATTTTGTAAAAAAAAATATATTAGTTAATTAAAATTTAGAAGCTTAAAGGAATATACAGTAAGTGGCAAAATAAGAAAAATATGTTTTAAAATTTGAAAACCAATCTCTGCTTTGTATACATTTAACTATTCCCCAAAGAACGAGATTTTTAAGTATGAAAATAAAATTTGATTAAATTTTGTCATTCACTGTAATGTTAGTTAAAATAGTTTTATTTAATTTAATAAAATATTTATTTGTGTAAACATCTTAATTCATATATGTATGTGTTTTTTCTCTTTTTTTCTTTCTTCTATTAATTTTCATGTAGCCATGGCGAGGATCTCATTGTGACACCATTTGCCCAAATTTTAGCCAGTTTACGTTCTGTACGCAATAATTTATTAAGTCTGACAAATGTTCCAGCAACCAACAAGTGAGTATAAGCTTTTACTTTTAATTAATTTTGATTTTTTTTCTTTTGGAAATTTTTGCCTTTCTATTTAATATATTGTAATACATTGTAACTCCCTTTAAAAATAAAGTTAATTATAACATGAACCCTTTTTTAATACTTAACTGCACCTGGCTAAAAAATAAAATTATTAAAAATAACAATAATTATAATTATAACAAATACCTATTACTAAATATTTATTTTATTTGTTGTACCTACTTCTAACACATTGTCTTGCGAGAACATAATTTTAATTATAACAAAAATAAAATTAAATTAAAATGTTGTAATGTAAAACTTTTTTATTAGAATTGCCCCTTTTTAGCAGAGTAAAACAGTTATATAAATTAATTCATTAATATTACAGTGTTTTACTCTTTAAAAAAACCCACTCAGATTCTTTTTGAACCACCAAATAGTAAATGGATTGTTAAAACTGTATTAAAAGGGGGTTATAAACCCAAAACTGTGTGCATACGAGTATATTTGAAAATTATTAAGCCTTAAAGTATGTGGCCATAATTTTAAGGTTTAACTGCTTAAAGTATACTTTAAAGTAAATAATATTTGTTGTCCCCTAAAAGTATACTTAAGTACCTATTATGGAATTCTTTAATAACATACTTGTCTGCACATGCTTTTGAATTTATTTATTTATTTTAAAAAATTTGTTTTTTTGTGATAAAATCTAAATGTTTAACTCCCAGTTTGACTAAAAGTATAGATTTTTTATAACATAATTTTACCTTTATTTCTTTTTCTCTTTCTCCCCCTTTTTTTCCTATAATAAAATAAAAAATAAACCAAATTTGTTTAACTTATATTGAAATAATTTGTCAAATTTCCTTTAATAAATTTTTTATTTTAAAAATTATTTTTCCTTACTTTTTACGCTCTAACCTTTATAATTTTAACACATTTTTAATTAATTAAAAAAAATTTTTTTTGCTTTATTTCTTTTTATTTTTTCAAAAATATCTTTTGTTATGCCCGCCCGTATCAACAACGTTCGCTCGTCCTTTTTTGCTTTAATTGTACTTTTTTTCTTAAATGACCTACGCTTTGTTATGTCCTTGTTTCCGGTTCCCTTAACAATTTTATTTGTTTTTCGTTAAATATGTTTCTTTTTTAAAAACTATTATTGTAAATGTGTGTATGTTTGTCGAAACACTTTGTCTGTCTGTGTGTGTTTGTCTGTACGTTTGTTTGTGTTTCTGTGTGTGGAACATTGTATTAATGATCTAAGATCTAGGCGACCAACACAAACTTCAATGGGACGTTCCTCAACGGCGGGCATACAATTGAATCAGGGCGATGAGGCATACACTAGATTGGCCACCGATACAATAGAAGAATTAGACTGGTGTTTAGATCAACTGGAAACAATACAAACACATCGCAGTGTATCCGATATGGCTTCACTAAAGGTGAGTTCAAAATCAAAATAAAAAAAATTACTTTAATTTTTCTTTAAAAACCCTTAAAAGTATACTTTATTTAAAATTTTTTCACATACTCCTCAATGTATACTCGAAATATTTCTCTCTATTTTCTTTTAATATAAACTCTGTATTTTTTCCTTTCAACTTTTCACAGTTCAAACGCATGCTTAATAAGGAATTATCTCACTTCAGTGAATCGAGTAGATCGGGAAATCAAATTTCAGAATACATTTGTTCAACATTTTTGGGTAAGTTAACAACCATATTTACACTTTTACCTCATTTATGTATTTACTATGTAAAACGTGCCTTTATATGTAATACATATTTAACGGATTTGTCAAACACTTTTTTTATAACAACAAAACCTAGCAAACTGTAAAATATGTACAATTTAAATAAAAAAAAAAAAAATTACAACAAAACCATAATATTCGCACAAAAATCAATCATTCAACAAGCCTAAAAGTATGCTTCAATAAATTTATGCAAATGTATTTAAAGACATTTGTTAAATATGCTACAGACAATTTTTACATACAAAGACCTTCAATTCGGGGAAAAAAGTTTACTGTACAAGCTGCAAAATAAATGAAGATTTTTTTTCGAAAAGGAATGACAAAATATACTGAAATATTTTGACATTTTCGCTTTTTATGTGTTCGTCGGTTAAATTTAATCTTTTAATGCCCGGAAAACCAATTTAAAAAGTTTCAAAAGAATTTTAAGATTTATAAGTTTTATATTTTCTAAATGAAATTTATATTTAATACAGTTTACTACGATAGCACAGTGGGTCGTTAATTAAAAAAAAAATAATTTTGTAAAAATTTTGCGATATTGGCTTTTTTGTTCAGTCCTAGTTCAGTTCTAGTTCAGTTCTAGTTCAGTTCTAGTTCAGTTCTAGTTCAGTTCTAGTTCAGTTCCAGTTCAGTTCTAGTTCAGTTCTAGTTCAGTTCTAGTTCAGTTCTAGTTCAGTTCTAGTTCAGTTCTAGTTCAGTTCTAGTTCAGTTTTAGTTCAGTTCTAGTTCAGTTTCTAGTTCAGTTCTAGTTCAGTTCTAGTTCAGTTCTAGTTCAGTTCTAGTTCGTTCAGTTCAGTTCTAGTTCAGTTCTAGTTCAGTTCTAGTTCAGTTCTAGTTCAGTTCTAGTTCAGTTCTAGTTCAGGTCTAGTTCAGTTCTAGTTCAGTTCTAGTTCAGTTCTAGTTCAGTTTTAGTTCAGTTCTAGTTCAGTTCTAGTTCAGTTCTAGTTCAGTTCTAGTTCAGTTCTAGTTCAGTTCTAGTTCAGTTCTAGTTCAGTTTTAGTTCAGTTCTAGTTCAGTTCTAGTTCAGTCTAGTTCAGTTCTAGTTCAGTTCTAGTTCAGTTCAGTTCTAGTTCAGTTCTAGTTCAGGTCTAGTTCAGTTCTAGTTCAGTTCTAGTTCAGTTCTAGTTCAGTTTTAGTTCAGTTCTAGTTCAGTTCTATTTCAGTTCTAGTTCAGTTCTAGTTCAGTTCTAGTTCAGTTCTAGTTCAGTTCTAGTTCAGTTCTAGTTCAGTTCTAGTTCAGTTCTAGTTCAGTTCTAGTTCAGTTCTAGTTCAGTTCAGTTCAGTTCTAGTTCTAGTTCAGTTCTAGTTCAGTTCAGTTCTAGTTCAGTTCTAGTTCTAGTTCTAGTTCAGTTCTAGTTCTAGTTCAGTTCAGTTCTAGTTCAGTTCTAGTTCAGTTCTAGTTCAGTTCTAGTTCAGTTCTAGTTCAGTTCTAGTTCAGTTCTAGTTCAGTTCTAGTTCAGTTCTAGTTCAGTTCTAGTTCAGTTCTAGTTCAGTTCTAGTTCAGTTCTAGTTCAGTTCTAGTTCAGTTCTAGTTCAGTTTTAGTTCAGTTCTAGTTCAGTTCTAGTTCAGTTCTAGTTCAGTTCTAGTTCAGTTCTAGTTCAGTTCTAGTTCAGCTCTAGTTCAGTTCTAGTTCAGTTCTAGTTCAGTTCTAGTTCAGTTCTAGTTCAGTTCTAGTTCAGTTCTAGTTCAGTTCTAGTTCAGTTCTAGTTCAGTTCTAGTTCAGTTCTAGTTCAGTTCTAGTTCAGTCTAGTTCAGTTCTAGTTCAGTTCTAGTTCAGTTCTAGTTCAGTCAGTTCAGTCAGTTCTAGTTCAGTTCAGTTCTAGTTCAGTTCTAGTTCAGTTCTAGTTCAGTTCTAGTTCAGTTCTAGTTCAGTTCAGTTCTAGTTCAGTTCTAGTTCAGTTCTAGTTCAGTTCTAGTTCAGTTCTAGTTCAGTTCTAGTTCAGTTCTAGTTCAGTTCTAGTTCAGTTCTAGTTCAGTTCTAGTTCAGTTCTAGTTCAGTTCTAGTTCAGTTCTAGTTCAGTTCTAGTTCAGTTCTAGTTCAGTTCTAGTTCAGTTCTAGTTCAGTTCTAGTTCAGTTCTAGTTCAGTTCTAGTTCAGTTCTAGTTCAGTTCTAGTTCAGTTCTAGTGCAGTTCTAGTTCAGTTCTAGTTCAGTTCTAGTTCAGTTCTAGTTCAGTTCTTGTTCAGTTCTAGTTCAGTTCTAGTTCAGTTCTAGTTCAGTTCTAGTTCAGTTCTAGTTCAGTTCTAGTTCAGTTCTAGTTCAGTTCTAGTTCAGTTCTAGTTCAGTTCTAGTTCAGTTCTAGTTCAGTTCTAGTTCAGTTCTAGTTCAGTTCTAGTTCAGTTCTAGTTCAGTTCTAGTTCAGTTCTAGTTCAGTTCTAGTTCAGTTCTAGTTCAGTTCTAGTTCAGTTCTAGTTCAGTTCTAGTTCAGTTCTAGTTCAGTTCTAGTTCAGTTCTAGTTCAGTTCTAGTTCAGTTCTAGTTCAGTTCTAGTTCAGTTCTAGTTCAGTTCTAGTTCAGTTCTAGTTCAGTTCTAGTTCAGTTCTAGTTCAGTTCTAGTTCAGTTCTAGTTCAGTTCTAGTTCAGTTCTAGTTCAGTTCTAGTTCAGTTCTAGTTCAGTTCTAGTTCAGTTCTAGTTCAGTTCTAGTTCAGTTCTAGTTCTAGTTCAGTTCTAGTTCAGTTCTAGTTCAGTTCTAGTTCAGTTCTAGTTCAGTTCTAGTTCAGTTCTAGTTCAGTTCTAGTTCAGTTCTAGTTCAGTTCTAGTTCAGTTCTAGTTCAGTTCTAGTTCAGTTCTAGTTCAGTTCTAGTTCATTCTAGTTCAGTTCTAGTTCAGTTCTAGTTCAGTTCTAGTTCAGTTCTAGTTCAGTTCTAGTTCAGTTCTAGTTCAGTTCTAGTTCAGTTTAGTTCAGTTCTAGTTCAGTTCTAGTTCAGTTCTAGTTCAGTTCTAGTGTCAGTTCTAGTTCAGTTCTAGTTCAGTTCTAGTTCAGTTCTAGTTCAGTTCTAGTTCAGTTCTAGTTCAGTTCTATTCAGTTCTAGTTCAGTTCTAGTTCAGTTAGTTCAGTTCTAGTTCAGTTCTAGTTCAGTTCTAGTTCAGTTCTAGTTCAGTTCGTTCAGTTCTAGTTCAGTTTTAGTTCAGTTCTAGTTCAGTTCTAGTTCAGTTCTAGTTCAGTTCTAGTTCAGTTCTAGTTCAGTTCTAGTTCAGTTCTAGTTCAGTTCTAGTTCAGTTCTAGTTCAGTTCTAGTTCAGTTTTAGTTCAGTTCTAGTTCAGTTCTAGTTCAGTCTAGTTCAGTTCTAGTTCAGTTCTAGTTCAGTTCTAGTTCAGTTTTAGTTCAGTTCTAGTTCAGTTCTAGTTCAGTTCTAGTTCAGTTCTAGTTCAGTTCTAGTTCAGTTAGTTCAGTTCTAGTTCAGTTCTAGTTCAGTTCTAGTTCAGTTCTAGTTCAGTTCTAGTTCAGTTCTAGTTCAGTTCTGTTCAGTTCTAGTCAGTTCTAGTTCAGTTCTAGTTCAGTTCTAGTTCAGTCTAGTTTCAGTTCTAGTTCAGTTCTAGTTCAGTTCTAGTTCAGTTCTAGTTCAGTTCTAGTTCAGTTCTAGTTCAGTTCTAGTTCAGTTCTAGTTCAGTTCTAGTTCAGTTTCTAGTTCAGTTCTAGTTCAGTTCTAGTTTCAGTTCTAGTTCAGTTCTAGTTCAGTTCTAGTTCAGTTCTAGTTCAGTTCTAGTTCAGTTCTAGTTCAGTTCTAGTTCAGTTCTAGTTCAGTTCTAGTTCAGTTCTAGTTCAGTTCTAGTTCAGTTCTAGTTCGTTCTAGTTCAGTTCTAGTTCAGTTCTAGTTTCAGTTCTAGTTCAGTTCTAGTTCAGTTCTCAGTTCAGTTCTAGTTCAGTTTCTAGTTCAGTTCTAGTTTCAGTTCTAGTTCAGTTCTAGTTCAGTTCTAGTTCAGTTCTAGGTTCAGTTCTAGTTCAGTTCTAGTTCAGTTCTAGTTCAGTTCTAGTTCAGTTCTAGTTCAGTTCTAGTTCAGTTTAGTTCAGTTCTAGTTCAGTTCTAGTTCAGTTCTAGTTCAGTTCTAGTTCAGTTCTAGTTCAGTTCTAGTTCAGTTCTAGTTCAGTTCTAGTTCAGTTCTAGTTCAGTTCTAGTTCAGTTCTAGTTCAGTTCTAGTTCAGTTCTAGTTCAGTTCTAGTTCAGTTCTAGTTCAGTTCTAGTTCAGTTCTAGTTCAGTTCTAGTTCAGTTCTAGTTCAGTTCTAGTTCAGTTCTAGTTCAGTTCTAGTTCAGTTCTAGTTCAGTCTAGTTCAGTTCTAGTTCAGTTCTAGTTCAGTTCTAGTTCAGTTCTAGTTCAGTTCAGTTCAGTTCTAGTTCAGTTCAGTTCTAGTTCAGTTCTTTCTAGTTCAGTTCTAGTTCAGTTCTAGTTCAGTTCTAGTTCAGTTCTAGTTCAGTTCTAGTTCAGTTCTAGTTCAGTTCTAGTTCAGTTCTAGTTCAGTTCTAGTTCAGTTCTAGTTCAGTTCTAGTTCAGTTCTAGTTCAGTTCTAGTTCAGTTCTAGTTCAGTTCTAGTTCAGTTCTAGTTCAGTTCTAGTTCAGTTCTAGTTCAGTTCTAGTTCAGTTCTAGTTCAGTTCTAGTTCAGTTCTAGTTCAGTTCTAGTTCAGTTCTAGTTCAGTTCTAGTTCAGTTCTAGTTCAGTTCTAGTTCAGTTCTAGTTCAGTTCTAGTTCAGTTCTAGTTCAGTTCTAGTTCAGTTCTTGTTCAGTTCTAGTTCAGTTCTAGTTCAGTTCTAGTTCAGTTCTAGTTCAGTTCTAGTTCAGTTCTAGTTCAGTTCTAGTTCATTCTAGTTCAGTTCTAGTTCAGTTCTAGTTCAGTTCTAGTTCAGTTCTAGTTCAGTTCTAGTTCAGTTCTAGTTCAGTTCTAGTTCAGTTCTAGTTCAGTTCTAGTTCAGTTCTAGTTCAGTTCTAGTTCAGTTCTAGTTCAGTTCTAGTTCAGTTCTAGTTCAGTTCTAGTTCAGTTTCTAGTTCAGTTCTAGTTCAGTTCTAGTTCAGTTCTAGTTCAGTTCTAGTTCAGTTCTAGTTCAGTTCTAGTTCAGTTCTAGTTCAGTTCTAGTTCAGTTCTAGTTCAGTTCTAGTTCAGTTCTAGTTCAGTTTCTAGTTCAGTTCTAGTTCAGTTCTAGTTCAGTTCTAGTTCAGTTCTAGTTCAGTTCTAGTTCAGTTCTAGTTCAGTTCTAGTTCAGTTCTAGTTCAGTTCTAGTTCAGTTCTAGTTCAGTTCTAGTTCAGTTCTAGTTCAGTTCTAGTTCTAGTTCAGTTCAGTTCAGTTCTAGTTCTAGTTCAGTTCTAGTTCAGTTCTAGTTCAGTTCTAGTTCAGTTCTAGTTCAGTTCTAGTTCAGTTCTAGTTCAGTTCTAGTTCAGTTCTAGTTCAGTTCTAGTTCAGTTCTAGTTCAGTTCTAGTTCAGTTCTAGTTCAGTTCTAGTTCAGTTTAGTTCCGTTATAGTTCAGTCTAGTTCAGTCTAGTTCAGTTCTTAGTTCAGTTCTAGTTCAGTTTAGTTCAGTTCAAGTTCAGTTCTAGTTCAGTTCTAGTTCAGTTCTAGTTCAGTTCTAGTTCAGTTCTAGTGCCGTTCTAGCTCAGTTCTAGTTCAGTTGTAGTTCAGTTCTAGTGCAGGTTAATGCCCTAGTTCAATTCTAATTCTAGAAAAGTATTGGACATTGTGTACTTATCTTCATTTGTAAAATCATTCATTTTTTATATATTTCTGTAAATAGGGCTTTTCAAGGACCCATCCCAAAAAAAACAGCTTTGTTAAACATTACATTTCAATGGACTCAATTTATGTTTCCCCTGTGTAGCCTTGTAAACTTTTGTAATTCATATCGTTCTTTTTTTCAACACTCAAAGTTGAATTTATTTCACATAAAAATCTCAGCAGGTTTTGTAACTTTTTTACAATATTTCTTTTTTTGATTTTCACAAGATGATTTTTCGCCTCTCCCTGTTTCTTTTGTTCATACGATTTTTTGTTTTAACACTTGTATATTTACCACAAAAAAGAAAAAGTGAAAAGTTTTTTTTGCAGCTTCACCATAAAAGAAATGTCTAGCCCTTAAGTAAAATCAAGTAGTAAAAATGTTTATAAATTAAATTGATTTTTATCATTTTTTTCCACTTCATCATTTTATATAACTAAAACGTAGAATTTAAAATAAAGATATACATATGTATGTAAAAAAGCACATAATATTTATTTCCAGCCTAAAGGTATACACTGATTTTTTGTTATTTTGTTAATATAAAAGTATGCTTTATATGTATGTTTTATGCAAAAGCGATGGATGAATACGGAAAAATGCAAATAAAATTTGAATTTTATATTTAAAACTTTTTTTCATCATCATCAACCACGCGTCGTCCTTTTACTCTTTTCACTCCCCCCAAACAGTTGCTATAGGTTGCGGTTCCTAGTTTGTAATTCAAATAAAAAAATGTGTAGTGTATTTGTAGGGTTGTTGATAAATTGTGAGGATTTTGTAAATTTTAAGTAACCTCTTTTATATAACAAAAAAAACTGTAAAACATACTGTTCATATGATGATGATAATGATGAGTAGTAATATGATAAAAATAGGAGCAGCAAAAAATAAAACTTTGAAATCAAATTATGTTTTGCAGTAACTACGCTTCAAAATCAAATGAAGCGAAAGTGTATGGTTGTTGGAAAAAATAGAAACAAAACCACTCGTATTTAAATAAAAATGGGTTACAGCAGCCAAAATATTTAATAAGATAATGGAATTTAAAATTAAATAAAATGTTATAGAAAGCGACTAAATTTAACGTCAATGCTACAATTGTAGTTATACTTTATTTTCCATAAAATTATTGTGTTTTATATAAATCTAAATTTAATTAAAATTATTTAACTTTTAGATAAACAACAAGAATTTGACTTGCCCTCGATGCGTTTCGAAGAGAATACCGATCCAAATGTACCGGTACCACAATTAACACAACAACAGCAGCAACAACAACAACGCAGTCGTTCACCCAGAGGCCCACCCATGTCCCAAATATCTGGTGTTAAACGTCCACTTTCACATACAAACTCATTTACAGGCGAACGTTTACCCACATATGGTGTAGAGACAACACATGAGGCCGCGTTGGGTCAACATTTGGCCGAATTGGATACCTGGGGCATTGATATATTTAAAATAGGCGATTTAAGCAACAATCGTCCACTCACCTGTGTAGCATACACAATATTTCAGGTTCATCCCACTTTCTTCCCAAAATTTGTTCTCTTTATTAAAATTTATTTATTTCTTTTCATCTTACAGAGTAGAGAATTATTGACCAGTCTTATGATACCACCGAAAAATTTTCTTAATTTTATGACTACTCTGGAGGACCATTATGTTAAAGACAATCCGTTTCACAATTCACTACATGCGGCTGATGTAACACAAAGTACTAATGTTTTATTAAATACTCCTGCACTTGAGGGTGTTTTTACGCCACTGGAAGTGGGCGGTGCTCTATTTGCAGCCTGTATTCACGATGTTGATCATCCTGGTCTAACTAATCAATTTTTAGTTAATTCAAGTGGGTTTTATTTACATTGTATATTTTAATGATTTTTTTCAATTCTTCAAATTTTGATTTGGTTTTAGGTTCCGAATTAGCCTTAATGTATAATGACGAATCTGTTTTGGAAAATCATCATTTAGCTGTTGCCTTTAAATTATTGCAAAATCAAGGATGTGATATATTCTGTAATATGCAAAAGTGAGTAATTTATACAAATATTTTAGACCAATTGACCAGGAACTAACTGTAAAATTTGGTAATCCAATATGACCAAAATGTCTGCAAATTTAATCCTTAGCTGTAATATCTAGCTCAGTTCTAGTTCAGTTCTAGTTCAGTTCTAGTTCAGTTCTAGTTCAGTTCTAGTTCAGTTCTAGTTTCAAGTTCTAGTTCAGTTCTAGTTCAGTTCTAGTTCAGTTCTAGTTCAGTTCTAGTTCGTCTAGTTCGTTCTAGTCAGTTCTAGTTCAGTTCTAGTTCAGTTCTAGTTCAGTTCTAGTCAGTTCTAGTTCAGTTCTAGTCAGTTCTAGTTCAGTTCTAGTTCAGTTCTAGTTCAGTTCTAGTTCAGTTCTAGTTCAGTTCTAGTTCAGTTCTGTTCAGTTCTATTCAGTTCTAGTTCAGTTCTAGTTCAGTTCTAGTTCAGTTCTAGTTCAGTTCTAGTTCAGTTCTAGTCAGTTCTAGTTCCGTTCTAGTTCAGTTCTAGTTCAGTTCTAGTTCAGTTCTAGTTCAGTTCTAGTAGTTCTAGTCCAGTTCTAGTTCAGTTCTTAGTTCAGTTCTAGTTCAGTTCTAGTCAGTTCTAGTTTCAGTTCTAGTTCAGTTCTATGTCAGTTCTAGTTCAGTTCTAGTTCAGTTCTAGTTCAGTTCTAGTTCAGTTCCTAGTTCATTCTAAGTTCAGTTCTAGCTCAGTTCTAGTTCGTACTAGTTCAGTTCTAGTTTCAGTTTCTAGTTCAGCCGTTCTAGTTCAGTTTCTAGTTCAAGGTTCTAGTTTCAGTTCTAGTTACAGTTCTAGTTTCAGTTCTAGTACTAGTTCAGTTCTAGTTCAGTTCTAGTTTCAGTAGTTCAGTTCTAGTTCAGTTCTAGTTCAGTTCTAGTTCATCAGTCAGTTATAGTTCAGTTCTAGTTCAGTACTAGTTCAGTTTCTAGTTCATTTCTAGTTCAGTTCTAGTTCCAGTTCTAGTCAGTTAGTTCCAGTTCTAGTCGTTCTAGTCAGTAGTTCAGTGTCTAGTTCAGTTCTAGTTCAGTTTCTAGTTCAGTTTCTAGTTCACTAGTTCACTTCAGGTTCAGTTCTAGTTCAGTTCTAGTCGTACTAGTTCAGTTCTAGTTCAGTTTCTAGTTCAGTTCCTAGTTTCAGTCTAGTTCAGTTCTAGTTCAGTTCTAGTTCAGTTCTAGTCAGTTCTAGTTCAGTTCTAGTTCAGTTCTAGTTCAGTTCTAGTTCAGTCTAGTTCAGTTCTAGTTCAGTTCTAGTTCAGTTCTAGTTCAGTTCTAGTTCAGTTCTAGTTCAGTTCTAGTTCAGTTCTAGTTCAGTCTAGTTCAGTTCTAGTTCAGTTCTAGTTCAGTTCTAGTTCAGTTCTAGTTCAGTTCTAGTTCAGTTCTAGTTCAGTTCTAGTTACTAGTCAGTTCTAGTTCAGTTCTAGTTCAGTACTAGTTCAGTTCTAGTTCAGTTCTAGTTCAATTCTAGTCAGTTCTAGTTCAGTTCTAGTTCAGTTCTAGTTCAGTTCTAGTTCAGTTCTAGTTCAGTTCTAGTTCAGTTCTAGTTCAGTTCTAGTTCAGTTCTAGTTCAGTTCTAGTTCAGTTCTAGTTCAGTTCTAGTTCAGTTCTAGTTCAGTTCTAGTTCAGTTCTAGTTCAGTTCTAGTTCAGTTCTAGTTCAGTTCAGTTCTAGTTCAGTTCTAGTTCAGTTCTAGTTCAGTTCTAGTTCAGTTCTAGTTCAGCAGTTCTAGTTCAGTTCTAGTTCAGTTCTAGTTCAGTTCTAGTTCAGTTCTAGTTCAGTTCTAGTTCAGTTAATTCAGTTCTAGTTCTAGTTCAGTTCTAGTTTAGTTCTAGTTCAGTTCTAGTTCAGTTCTAATTCAGTTCTGGTTCAGTTCTAGTCCAGTTCTCGTTCAGTTATAATTCCTTTGAGTTTCGGTGATCTTTTGAGAAATATCGACACATGAAACCGCTAATTTATAAAAATTTATTTTTTTAGGAAACAACGCCAAACATTAAGAAAAATGGTTATTGATATTGTACTATCAACTGACATGTCCAAACATATGAGCCTTTTGGCCGATTTAAAAACTATGGTAGAAACGAAAAAGGTAGCAGGATCTGGTGTACTACTGCTGGACAATTACACAGATCGTATACAGGTAAAATTCTTACTATATTTCTCTTTGCAGAGAACATTCGTTTAATTATATTTTCATTATTACAACAGGTTCTTGAAAATCTTGTCCATTGTGCCGATTTAAGTAATCCCACTAAACCCTTGCCGCTCTACAAACGCTGGGTTAGTCTACTAATGGAGGAGTTCTTTTTGCAAGGCGATAAAGAACGTGAATCGGGCATGGATATTAGTCCAATGTGTGATCGTCATAATGCTACGATTGAAAAGTCGCAGGTCGGCTTTATTGATTATATTGTACATCCACTCTGGGAAACTTGGGCCGATTTGGTGCATCCAGATGCTCAAGATATATTAGATACGCTTGAAGAGAATAGAGACTATTATCAGAGTATGATACCACCATCACCACCACCATCACAGGCCGATGAACAGCCAGCTAACGAGGATAAAATAAGGTTTCAGGTAAGTTCGAAGAGAACACACACAGTAGTTTTTGAAAAGTAGTTAGCAAATTATGATGTTTGTAAATAGGTAACCCTTGAAGAGTCCGATCAAGAAAATTTAGCTGAACTAGAAGAAGCTGATGAAACAGCGGCCGAACGAGGTGATGATGATGTCGCCAACAACTCCTTGACCACAACGGGTGAAAATAAACCGTCGGGGAGTCAAAATCAATCTCATCACGCTGGAATGTGACGGAGAGTCGTGGGACTATGCCGAAAAATTACAGAAAAGGCGCAAAATTTTTTGCTAATACGTTAGTGACTTTAAAAAAACATAAAAACAAACAAAAAAAAAAACTTTAAAAAGCTTAAAAAATAACAAATTTACTAGAAAAAAATTATTCAAAAAAAATCCTCCAAAAAAATATTAAAATAGAATTAAAACTAAACTATATAAAACAAAAAACCAAAACACACAACAATACAAACTCTATACAAATTTCAAAAACATTTTTAAGACAATGCTAAAATAGCAACAAAACAAACAAAAAAAAATAGCTAAGATTTTTAATTTTTTTATTATTTTATTTCTCAACAAACAACAAAAAAAAATAGATTTTCCATTTAAGTTAAAAATGAAAAATTGCAAAAAAAATATTACAAAAAAAATTTAAAAACATTTTTATGACACCGACAAGTTGACAAAACAAACAAAAAAATAATAATTATTAAAAGAAAAAAATAACTTAAAAAAAATATTAAAACTTTAAAAAAATAATAATTGTTTAGGGAAATATCAAACAAATATGATTAAATGCAAAAAACAAAATAAAATAAAATATTTACTACAACTAACCACTGAAAAAGAAAAACTAAAAGAAACAAAAAAAAAACTTTTTCAAAATGCCACCCTACTCCCTCTCTAACAGCAAAAACAATTATTTTTTTTAATAGAATTTTTTATTATTTAAAAAAAAAAACACAAACTCAAGAATGAATTATTTTTTTCAATGATAACACTAGTCAACAGTTTAAACTTTTAAATTTAAATAATTTTACAATATTACAAATTTTTAAATTAATTTATTAAAATATTTAAAATATGTAGGAGCAACTGCTGGCTGGTGTTTTTGTTTTAGTATTTAATTAAATTATTTTTATAAATATTGACTTTACTACTTACAAAAACCAAACAACAACAACAAACAAAAAAAAACCAACTTAGGACACTACAATACACAAACTTTGACCTTTAACTGTTAAACTAACGGGACTTTGTAATTATTCAAAAAAAAAAAAAAAACAACAAAATATTAGAAGCAAAAAAAAACTCATTTGTTTAAGCATACAAAAATTGTTCAAAATTATATGAAAATATAACAGTTTTATTTAATATAACACTTTAAACAATCTAAAAGTTTTATTAAAAAAAAAGAAATTATTTTCCTTAAAGATTTTATTGTAAACTTTATTACCATTTTCTCTTGTTTAAATTGTAAGTCTTTTTTTCAGTTTTTTTTTTTTCTTTAATTTTAAATTATTTTAGTTCATTTTTTTCTGCATGCCATTTTCATTTAGAAATACAAGTAAACGAAAAAAAACTACTGAACATTTATAGTAAAAAGGAAATTTGTTTTTGTTTGTTAATATTTGTTGAAAATTTAAAAAAAAAAATTATTTTGAAATTTGTTTATTTAATTTACATTTAAGTTTGAACAACAATTTTGAAACAGGTATTTAGTAAAAAAAAAGAAATTTAAACAAAGTTTTCACATTGAAAGATAAAATCTAATGACTACATATGAAATTTAATAAGAAAATATACTAAGAAAACTGTTATAAACTGTTAAAATCAAACATTGTAATACATGCTTCTTTGAAAACTTTTTATAAATGTTTGTTTACTTTTTAATAGGAAATTTTTTAAAAATAATGACATATTTAATTGTTATACTGTTTTTAATCCATATTTTATAAAAAGTTCAATTCAACTGTTATACAGCTATTATTTTCTCAGTTTTAACTAAAAGTTCTCTCAACTCAAAACTATTATACATAAAACTGTTATAAAAACATTTTATTAAAGTTCTCATTCTAAAGAAGCTATCAAGGCTTCAAAAGTAAGGAATGTCAGACCTTTTACTACTTATATCGTTAGTAGACTCTTATAAGTCTTGTGCCACAAAAATGTCTTACTTTTTCAACTACTTCACGGGTCTGAGAGACGTATACAAGTGTTCTCTTTTAAATTTTCTGTATTCTACAAGACTTATTAATGGAATAGTTCTTTTTGCAAAACTATAGAGAATGTGAATTCGCCATTAATATAGTCCTTTTTGTAATCGTCTCCTCTCTGGAAAACTTACCCCGATTTGGTACATCCAGATTGCTGAAGATACATACATATATCTACAAAATTTTAAAATAAAAAAGGGATGGACCAACTAATGTTAGAGTTCTTTTTGCAAGATCATAAAGAACGTCAATCGGTCATTAATATTAATCCCTTTTGTCATCGTCACAATTGACAGATCGTACATCGTATTTTCTGTATTGCGCAAGATTTTGAGCACAATAATGGGTTTAGACTTATTAATGGAATAGTTCTTTTTGCAAAACGATAGAGAATGTGAATCGGCCATTAATATGGTCCTTTTTGTAATCGTCACCTCTCTGGAAAACTTAAACCGATTTGGTGCATCCATGTAGCTGAAGATACATATATCTGCAAAATTTTAAAATAACAATCGGATGGACCAACCACTGTTAGAGTTCTTTTTGCAAGTTATCATCTTGCGTCAATCATTAATATTAGTCACTTTTGTGATCGTCACAATTGACAGATCGTACATAGGCTTTAGTGATTGTATAACCTCTCTGGAAAACTTAAAACTCCATTTCTGAATTCTACAAGATTTCGAGAATAATAATGGGTTTGGAATAGTTCTTTTTGCAAAACGATAGAGAATGTGAATCGGTCATTAATATAGTCCTTTTTGTAATCGTCATAATTGAAAAATCGTAAATCGGCTAACAATGGTTTGGACCAATTAATGTAAGAATTCTTTTTGCAAGACAATAAAGAACGTTAATCGGGCATTAATATTAAAGCTGTGATACACACTTGTTGTCAGATCTTACAACGTTGTCAGTAAAATGTGCACAAAATGTCTAACAATCGTATGAACTTACAACTTTGTCAGAAAAAGATTTACTGACAATGTTGTAAGACATAATTTGTAAATTGACACTGTTGTTAGACATTTTCCGTACAGTTTACTGCCAAAGTTGTAAGATCTAACAATCATGTATATATAGCTTTAGTCCCTTTTGTGATCGTCATAAACATTATAGTTGAGGCTTTTTTGTTATATTCTGGAAAACTTAAACCGATTTCTGTAAAATATCGAAATAATATTGTTTTCGACTTACTAATGGAAGAGTTCTTTTTGTAAAACGATAAAGAACTTAAATCGCGAATGAATATTAAGACCAATGTAGGATCGTCACAATGAGTTACTTTCGAATCGAAACCACTTTGATTGGAAGTAAGATTTTCAGAGAGTAGACTTTTCGATTTGGAATTTTTTCTTCACGTATAACAGTTTTTGTTTTTCTGTGAAATTGTTTTCCTAAAAATGTTGTTTGTATTTATGGAAATTATAAATGTATAACAGTTTGAATATGGCTGTTTGTATAACAGTTCCTTTGATATTTGCATATTTATACTCGATTTGAAGTATATCTTTTCGAATTCCTTTATTTACAATAAAATTCAATTTTTAAAGTCTTGCAGAACAAAAGTTAGTTTATTATTACAAAAAATGAGTGTATAACAGTTTAAATAAGTTGTCAGTTTGAGAACTACAAATGATATCGAAAAGTAATTCGAAAATTTTTGATTTGAATTCGAAAGTAAAAATTTCGAACTAAAATGTAAACATTCGAAAAATCTACTTTTCGAATCAAGGAAAATAAATTGGAAAATATTTAAAAAAAAAATTAAATGTATAAAGTATAACACTTTCTTAAGTATAATTTGATATTCAATGTTGTAATTCAAATTTCTTAAAATTTGTTAAAATTTGTTCTCTTTAAATTTCATATGTCTTAAAAATGATTTAAATGAAAACTTAACTACAATTACAAGATTTTGTTTAAATACTTTTTTTTTAAATTTAACAAACACACCTCGTATAACAGTATCTCGGAAACAAATTATATTTTCAAAATGTTTATTTTTATGTAAAATTTGAAAATCAAATTTCTTTGCGAAATACTGACAATTACATACATATTTTAATTATAACAAAACCAACCGTTGGACTCGAATTTAGTAAAAAAAACAAATTTATTTTTAAACAAAAATAATTTTAAAAAATTAATTTTTTTAATTTAATTTAATATTTTTCTTGAATTAAATCTTTAAAAAAAAACTATATATTTAATTAAATGCTTCCTTAAACTCTCTACCATTACAAAAAGAAACCAAAAACCAAACAAAAATTTTGAAAAAAAAAATACATCACTAAGTCTTCTTTATTAAAAATTACTAAAACTTTATTAAAAAACAAGCACAATTTATTAAATATAAATATTATTAATAATTTTTTTCTTAAATTAAAATATTTTTTTCTTAAATAATTAAAACCTTTCTTTTGCGAAAAGCAGCAAGAATTTTTACTTATACGACTTTTAAAATTTCAACTAAATTTTATTTTTAAATTTATAAAATGAAAAAAATACGTTTTTTTAACTAAAATGACAAATTATGGCCAAATAATATTATTCTTTTAAATGATTAACGGTTTTTTAAATAAGTTTTAAAACAGTTTAGCTTAATTTATTATTTTTAACTTTATATTATATACAAACACATATATATTATTATTTTTTTAGTTTATTTATTAATTATTTTTTTTAATTTGTTGACAGGGCAGGATCCCGCTCTTTTTATTTTTTTTTTAATATATTTAAAATATATATAAAAAAAAATAACAAAATAAAATGTAAAATATTTTGCTTAAATAGCAAAATATTTAACTACATATATATTTATTATAATAATTAGTAAATACTACCAACAACAACAAAATAACATAAAAAAAACAAAAGCAAATTTTATGCAAAAACAACCTTGATGGTTAAAAAAATATCATTTAAAATAAATAATAAAAAAACTATATAAACAATTAAATTAATATTATAAAACAAACACTTTAGCATTACATTACAAACAAAAAAAAATAAATAATAATTAAAACAACAACAAAAACATGTTAAACTAGTAGGTTATATTAAAAAAAAAACAAGAAAAAACAACAACAACTATATACATAAAAACATTTTATTGTAATATTATTATTAATTAATTATTAATAAAAAAAAATAAGCTTAACCAAAATGGAAAAAA